GGGTAGGGAACCACCTATTTGCCCCGTCTCCCAGGCAGAAAGGTCTTTTGGCAAGACTGGCTTGACAAAGATGGCCCTGGAATGTCTCGAGTCCGGGCCGTGGTGATCACTGAGTGAGTGGCACCGGGCTGAGCCTGGGCAGTTTGTTGACTGACAAAGAGGAATGCTAGCAGTTAGGAAGGTGAGGAGGAAACTCAGGATGGGGACCATCTGCTCCCCCAACCCCAGCGGGACAAAGACATCATCGGAGGTCTGCAATGCCGACTGGATGGCCTCGCTCCCCCCTCACCTCCACAACGTCCCCCTTTCCAATCTGGCAATCCCAGGTACTCTTCCATTCCTGCTTGTTCCCACTGTGTGTGCTTCTGCCATTGTAGTGTTCTTACTATTAATGGATTGGGTTGCTTTTCTGTTGTGCTGAGAAAATAATTGTCAGTGACCTTACTAAACCTTTTTATTTCCAACCAAAAACTTGACACTGAAGCAGCTGCTGTAAACAGATTTAAGTACACTGCCTCATTGGCAAAGGGGACTCGGGAGCATGGAAGCACCATTTTTTGTTTGTTTGTGTCTTTTTGTTTTGTTTTTACTTGGTAGCCTCATTCTAAGAATGTTACAGTCTTAATGTTGGAACCAGGCCATGTGAGGGGTGCATGTACCTGAATCGCTGAAAGGAAAAAGGAGAGATCAAGAGTAATGAATAAAAAGTCATTAACAATTTTAGATCTGGGTCAAAATTAAAACTGAAAAGTATTTTCTTTCTCATTCATCTGACCTTGCATATAGGAAAAACAAACAAACAAACAAACAAACAGAGATTATCATTAGAGAACAGGTTCAGAACCAGGACTGAGGATAAAGACACATATTTTTGCTGTTGGAAAAGCCAGAAATGGAGAATGCAAATGCTCATCAGAGGTCACAGGCAGTCATTAGGTGTGATGAGGTGGTGTTTGAAGATTTGTCTATATATACACAGGTGTCTGCCTGACTGATCTAGAACCGAAGCGTTGAAAAGCACTTCTGCTCCAGCCATGGTTTCTCTCCTGGGGGTTTTATGCCTTGGTATCACTCGCATTAAATTTGTTAAATGTGTCCTCTTCGTTCCGCTCAAAAGCTGGTTAAAGCATGGTTTCTAGGGAGGGACTTTGGACTACAGTGATCCAAGATCACTTGATCTGCCGTGCTGGGTAAAGTCCCAGATGCCTGTACTTGAAAAGCACCCTTAGGAGCAGGGGATGGACGACTGCAAATGTTTTCTCTCAACTGGAGATAGAACAATTGCTCTTCGCCCCTAGCCTACCAGACAAACTCGCAAGCATCCCTGGGAGCAGTCTGATTTTTTTTTTGCATGACCTCATGCAACCCAGATCTTTGCTTTCTATGCATGAGGAAGAGCAGCGCTGGCTTCAGATGCAGCCTTTTCCTTCCTCGCCTCTTCTTTTGGAGGTCGTCCAGGTGCATTGTCCTCGTGGGCTCTTGCTACTTTTGAGCAAGGAGAGGGCTGCTACATCTCTTGATAGTTACGATCACTTGTGTTTTATCAGCCATTGACTATAGTTCCTTGGGAAATGCCAGATGGTCATGCTTCAGAACAGGTCTTTTCCATGTTTAATTGACGCCTGTGGAGTCATCACTGAAATGATGCACAGGCTTCTTTTAACATTAGTCATTTGTCTTCAGGCTTTGCGGTGGAATTGTTTGGTCAGGTGGTATGGCAGGTAGTGTGTGTTTGCAAACAGCATGGCATCTTAGGCAGGCCCTAAATGACTTTGTCATTCAGGACATGGCCGGGGTAGGTTGGGGCTTCCTCCTTCCTGTTGTACTTTGGATGGACAGATCACACCACAGCCCCAGCTCTGCCAGTGGCTTGGCTGGGTGCTCTGACACCGTGACTCCAGAAAGGAGCTGGGCATTTGTTCTGCAATCTATAGGGTATCTCACAGTTACTAGAATTGCCAGGGGAAGGGGGCAAACAGCCAGAGCCTGCTGCTATGACTGGAAATGCTATGATGAGGCACTGTGGAGGACATAGGAATTTGTTCACCCTGCTTTGTGAGGTCTGGTCCTTCTATGCAGAAAACAAAAAACGAAGGAAGGGAGAAAGAAAGAAAAAGAAAAAATGACCTTGACTCCTCAACATGCTGAACTCACTTCTGTGAATGTCCTTTTCCCAGCCGTGGAAGGGGCATGAGCATATGTATATATGAGTTCAACACAGGAAAATCACATGTAAGTGCTAGCCATTTATGGACCCCCCACCAACCCGCCCCCCCCCAGTTTCCTTTCCCATCCCTCAGGCTTAATATTCCCTAGCTAATGGCTAGCACTCAAGTTCTGCCAAGCCTGGCGGAGAAATTCTGAAATACAGAAGGCATTCAGGACATGGAATCCATCATCTTCCTCCCCCATTTCCCCTCCACCTCTTCCCCTTCATGATCACCTTCAGCGTAATAGTTCTTATTTACTAAGCACTAACCTCCCTACCCACTGGCAAACACTACCTCAAATCTCTACACCTCCGAGACAGCTACTAACATCCTCATTTTGGAAATAAGAAAATTCTTGTCCAGAGAGGTTGAGTAATTTTTTTAAGATCACACAAATAGTAAATAACAGAACTAACATTTAAGCCCCTATCTAGCTGGCTCCAAAACCCATGCACTATCCCTGTGCCCCTCAGGGGGCCTTGGGGAGTGCAGAGCAGCTGTGTGTGTGTGTGTGTGTGTGTGTGTGTGTGTGTCCGTCCTAGGGGAGGGGGTGGTAGTCTCTAACCAAAAAGCAGTTTTTACAGTCTGTCCTCTGTGGCAAATGAAATAATTTTTAAGATTAGGTGGTCTTTATCTGAGTGATTATGTATGACTGTGAAGAGATAGATAAATAGACAGATATATATGTGTACATATTATATATCTGAGTAATATATATATTTACATGTTTACAATTATATATGTATATATGTGATATATATGTGTATATCTATGTATATACACATATCCCTGTTTATAACTGGAATGCAGGAAGTTTTAAATTCAGATTTATCGCTTAGACATTTGTGTGATGTTTATGCACATGTATGTGCTCCCGTGTGCCAACCGATGATGTAGGGTGTCTGTCAGATTGTGTCAGATCTGTCAGGGTGAGGATGGGGTGGCACTGACCTGGGAAAGGTCAGAGAAAAAGCAGGGGTTCTGGCAAGAATAGTGGACTGGGATGGAGTAAACTACATCAGATTTGAGTGCATCTGCTGCATTTGCCTAAGTCATGATGGGAGAGAACAGGTGTGAATGTGTACCTCTCAACAAAGCCTTGATGTATTATTTTACTTAATACAACTGTTAAGAACACCTGTTAATGACCAGTATCGCCCAAACATATTGAAATATCCTGGAGAAGAACCTCAGAACAAATCTCATTGCCAACCATTTAGGATGATTGGAGACCCCAAGGGTAAAGGATCTGGAAATTGCAAAAGTCAGATTTTTAAATTAAAGCTTTAAACTCTACAAACATTTTTCACTGACGTTAGTGAAAGCACGATATTCTTTATGGACAAATGGACTGATAGAAAAAATGTTTTCTATAACGTGTATAGTTTCCAATGAATTCTTTTTCTATAGTGTATTTCTTTTCTTGTCTTTTTTTTTTAGATTTTTTTTAAAACAATGCTTTTTCCCTGTTTATTGAAGGTAAACTGTTTAGTCTGTTGGAGAGAGCCTTGAACTTAAGAAAGTTGATATTGTTGATTCTGGCTGTGTGATATTGAAGAGGCATCTGAATTGCTCAGGACTTAGTTTCCTCATTTGTAATTAAGATGTTGGATTAAATGAAATACAGAGTTTTTTCTAAATTAAAAATTCTTTAATTGGAGGCTTTTTTAGAAATCCCCATTCTTTGTCCAAACGTGAAAAGAGATAGAAGAATGAGTCATTTTAGGTCTAAAAGCCCTTTCTTTTATGCCCCTTTAGAACAAGAAATTATTTCTGGCATGTGCAAACAAGTACTCACAACTGCCAGGATGAAGCAGGGTCCTCTCACTTTAGCATCCTAAAAGGAACTGTAGAATAATTAGTCTAAATAAACTGACCCTGAGTACATTTTAAGAAACGTCCATGCTCAGGCCTGGGGGAGACCCAAGGATGAATCAGGCATCAACCTTAGTATAAAGGAGCTTACAATTTAGTTTTATATATACAAATTACCATATATAGTTCAAAATAATTGGGGTAAATATTAAAACAAAGATATAAAGGTGTGATGGAAGCACAGAGAATAGAAAGATTAATTCCCGTTAGTTCCTACTTCTCAGATTAGGAACTACTTTGTTGAAAAAACATGGCATTTGACTCAAGATTTGAAGAATGGTCAAAATTTCAAGGGATGTGAATAGGCAGGTGGTCTGGGTTGGAAGGGGACTTTCCTGATGAAATAAACCAGTTAAGTTCAGGGATGAGGGTAGATGGGAAATGGTTGGAGGACTTTCTCTCCTGCCTCTCAGTAATGCTTTGTTAATACCTTTATCATAGCACTTCTGAACACATTGTTATTTTTGGCTATCATCCATATTGTCTGTGAACAATTTGCAGGCAGAGAGTATGTCTTTATTTCTCTTCATAATCCTAGGTCCTAGTACACGGTAGCAGCTTGGTCATTGGTGACAAGTGGATGATGGAATGCAAGGGACCCGGAGAGTAAGGATGCTGGAGAGCGGCTCGCTTGCAGCCACCATCGTGTTTGATTGTGGTCAGAGCTAAACTGAATGGATTGATTAGGTTTACCTGGCGAAAAAGCTGTATGAAGCCACCTGAACATTTTCCAGCCATCTCTTATTCCTTCTGCATAGTATTCCCTTTAGATAAGCTTTAGATAAGGCTCATCACTGAGCCCCTTCGGAAGTGAAAATTCTGAGGCAGAGCAAAATGGTCAGGAGAGTCAGAAGCAGAATTCTGGTGTAACTTGTGTCCTAGGAACAATTCTTTCACCCTGCATCCTTTCTGCCTTCTCTCTTCCCTTGTCAAATGTGAGCTGCTCCTGTTTCCTGCCTGGCCTCAGCCCCAGCCTGCTCTCATTTCTTGTTCCCCTCGTCACCTTCCTTCCACTGACCTGGCCTCTCCCTTTCCAGTGTCAACCCTCGCCCACGTGCTCCTCACTGCTCTCCAATTCCCAGACCCTTCTCATCTTCCTGAGGATCAGCCCCTTCTTTTTTACCTTTCGGAATTCTATCCCTGTCCCACGCAGTTCCGCCTCTGACCACTTGGTGAGTTCTGTAGCTCTTCTCACTTCCCACATGGGCGTCATGCAGACGACCAGATTATTACAGGGGCAA